TGCTTTTGCTACTTTTGAATTAGGCAACATATTTGCCATCACATCCGAAAATCATAGCCTAGATTAATGTCAAATAACTTTCCCCCCTTAGTAGTTTCAAAGTAGAAGGTTTTTTTGTTTTTCAGGGTTTTTTGATTTTTTTGGTCAGTCATGGGGCCTGAACTCTGGGCCTGGGTGCTGTCCCTCAGTTCTTCAGCTCGAGGCTAGCACTCTACCACTTGAGCCACAGTGCCACTTCTGGCTTTTTTTTTTTCTGGCTTTTTTTTTCTGCTTACGTGGTGCTAAGGAATTGAACCCAGGCCCTCATGCATGCAAGGCAAGCACTCTTCCACTGAGCCACCTTCCCAGTCCTAAAGTAGAAGTTTTTTTCAGTACTTTAATAGTTTTAAGTCTCACCTTCAGTTCATGAATCCATTTTGAGTTGATATTTGTATTGGTGAAAGATAAAAGTCTACTCTCATTCTGTTTGTGGATAGTTTATTTTCCCAACACCATTTTTTTTTCATGCTGATACTGGAGCTTGAACTTGGACATGATTGTTGTCGCTCGGCTTCTTCATTCTACCACTTTAGCCATGTCTCCACTTGCAGCTGTTTGGCCAATGCCATTTTTTTTTAAGAAGCTTCCCCACCCTGAATGATTAGTACCTTTGTGAAAAACTAGCTATCTGTTAATATGTAGATTTATTTCTGGTACATACAAGTACCATGCTGTTTTTTGACACCCATAGCTTTGTAGAATATATGAAGTTAGGTAGTTATTAACTGTTCTTTTCACTCTAGTTTGCTTTGGCAATTCATAATCTTTTGTGATTAGATAGATAGATAGATAGACAGACAGACAGACAGACCCTGCTGTGTTTCTCAGGCTGACTTCAGATTTCTGGAATCAAGCAATGTTCCTTCCTCAGCCTCTCAGGTAGTTGGAACTACAAGGATACCCCTATGCCTGGCTTTTCCATATAAATTTTGGGTTTTTTCTAATTCTACAAATATGTAATTGATATTTTGATACATGTTCATTGAATCTGTGGATTGCTTTGGATCGTATAGACATTTTAACAATTCCTGTAACCCATGCATCCTTACAATTTACTTATCTCCAGTCTCTTTCATCAGTGTTTTAGACTTTACATTGTAGATATATTTCAACTTGGTTAAATGTATTCCTAAGTATTCCTATATTCCAGCTTTTCAATAAGACAGTTTCCTTGGTTTGGTTTCTTTTCCAGCTAATTCAGCATTAATATATAAAAATACTACTAATTTTTGTATGTTGATTTTATATCGGATAACTGATGAATTTGTTTATTCTAATAATTTTTGGCAAAGTATTCAGGGTTTTATCTATATATAAGATTGTGTCATCTGTAGACAAGAATGAATTCTAACTTTCCTGTCTCTTACTTATTTATTTTGACTAAATGCTTTAGCTAGAATTTCTACTATCCATGACCAGATGATGATTATTTCAAGGTCAGCACATCTCCTAAGCCCAAAGGGTCAGGAGATTCTGTCTGAAAAGTTACAGATTTGCAATATCAAGATTCTGTTCATTGACATCTTCAATTCAACCCACACTTTGAAGCTGCAACTCTTTTCTGTATGAAGAAGCTTTCTGCAGCTGTCTGTAACTCTGTAGCAAGGTGTGACTGCCAGTACTGCTTCTTATCTTACTTATCTTAATGCTTACTTATTCTTATCATAGAGATCTGATGATCTTGATGGGTGTCCCTGGCTTCTTTATTAATTTTCTTATAAAAAGGCCATTCACAGTAGGGGATAGTAGTAAGACTAAGAGCAATAACATCAAAGTAAACAATACATGGTCATCAGGATGGGTGAGTGCAAAGTATAAATAGCATTGAGATCAATTTCCCATATAGAGATCACATTTGCCAAAGCTTAAGATGTACATGAACCATTCACTCAGCAACTGGCAAAGTGCCTACTAGCATGGTAGGAGAGGCTTACAGGAAATCAATTCTGTCTTGATTCTACAGTTTCTCTCTTGATGGAACCATGTTGCAGTATTCTTCAGTTATGAATTTATACACCTTGCATTGCCTTATTAATTACATCTTTGTTAAGATTCCTGGTAGAAGCATACATAAAACCGTGTAGTCAGTACTGCATTTGCTAAATGTATATGATAGTTAATAGGACACAAAAGTATATATCAGATGCTGCTTTTTAGTGTGTGTGTGTATGTGTGTTACTGAGGATTGAACTCAGGTCCTCAGTTTTACAAGGTAGATGGATAAGTGCTCTACCACTTGAGTCACACCTCTAGCCTCTTTTGGGTTGGTTATTTTTAAGATAGTGTTTCACTAGGTACTTGTGTTTCCCAGTGTCACTGGTGATGGCAGGTGCATGGTCACTGCACCCAGCCGTAGTGTGCATTGTCACAGTACCCAGCCATTGTGTGTCCCTTATAGCTGAGATAATAGATGCATACACTGAGACAATTCATTTCAGAGACAGTGTCTTGAGAACTTCAAGGCCCAGGCTGGCCTTGAACTGTGATCCCCCAACCTTTGCCTCCCAAGTAGCTAGGATTATAGGCTTGAGTTACTGGGTCCAGCTTAAGCTTCTTTTTAATAATTGTGCTAGGGTAGAACAAATAAGGACCCTTGGCTTGTCTTTGATTAGTTGGTTAGTTTGGTTGGTTGTTTTACATGATACCTTACTCTGAAAGTAATTTGAGAGAACAATGACACATCCGAGTGTATTGTCACCTTTTATACATGGTAGTTGTATATTAGGGGAACAATTAAATATAACATATTCGGTAACATACAGGCTTTTACCATATACCACGTTAGAGACACAGGGTTAAATTAGACACAGGGCTACAAAGGGAAATACAGCCCTGAAGATCTGAAGCTGCCTGCTGTCTTAACAATTAACTATAACTAAAGAGAAACAGTATTAATTGCCTTGTGGAAGTACAATGAAAGTCCAGCAGATAGGACTTTTGTTTGTTTTCTTAACCAGATCCCTGACAGGAAATATTTTAATGTGGAATTTTATTTACTTCAAAAATATTAACAATTAAAACTCAGTTACATGTCTAAAACAATTTCCCTAACTGGAAACAGTGCAGTGGCATGAGATCAGTTCTCCGTAGAGAGTCTAGGCTCTATCCTCACTCTGGCCACAGGAACTGAGAGGACAGTGCCACGTATTCTAACAAAGTGAGAGGGCTGCCAGAAAGAGTAATGCCCAATTTGGATCTTGAACAATGAATACAGGTCCTTGAAAAGGCTTGGTTTAAGGAGGAGGCAACAATGCTTGATAAGAAATGTACTCATTACCTTGCCCATGTAATTGTAACCCCTCTGTACAGTATTTTCACAATTAAAAAATGTTTGGTTCTGAGTACTGAGGTAAGTTTAATACATTGCGGAAGTCAGATGTATGACCTACCACTTCATCTTCCTCTGCAGTCATTCCCCCTGCAATCATTTTTGATGACTGCTACTATGGCTTGCAGCAAGGTCTTTATTTCTGCTTCCATTGGATTTGTATGCATGATTTGTAGACCCAGCCTCCCCTTCTCCTAGGATCAGCAGCACTTACAAGAACCTAGAATGTGCCATGCTTAATGGTGCTTTGCTGTCACCCAGGCTATTCAGAAGGGAAAAGTAGAAGGATCACACACAGTCCAAGGCTAGTCCAGGAAAAGTTAGCATGATACTTCACAAAAAGCAAGAGGACTCAAGTGGTAGAGTGTCAGGCCAAAGCTCTAAATTTGATTCTCGATATCACCATAAAGAACCTAGAGAGATGGGAGGTGGCTCAGTGGTAGAGCACTTGCCTTGCATGCCTGAGGCCCTGGGTTCGATTCCTCAGCACCACATAAGCAAAAAGAAAAAAGCTGGAAGTGGCGCTGTGGCTCAAGTGGTAGAGCACTAGCCTTGAGCTGAAGAGCTGAGGGACAGCGCCCAGACCCAGAGTTCAGGCGCCACGACCGGACCCCCCCCCAAAAAAAAACTAGAGAAAGTGCAGTGTTACATACAGAGTAAGGAAGCCAACTCTGAATACCAGGAAGTTCAATCCACATCCATCTAAAAAAGAAACAAGTGACCTCAGATAACATGCTGTCATTGCATGTGGGTACATGTGCATACGTGCCACAATCTATATAGAATATAATAGATGAGCATCAAATGACAGTAGTCTCACACTCTGAAGACTTCCTAAGAAAGAAGACAACCACATGGCAAAGCTGCTGCTAACAACAAGGGAAGGAACACCCAAGTCCTGTGCCACTCAGCAGCTTCAACCATTGAAATGACAGCCAGTAGGCTTAGCTCTGTAACCCCATTCTTTATGGGCCAGGAGTTAATTTCTTGTTGAGAACATTGCCTTTAATTGTTCTCATCTTTTATCATTATCAGGATGATTGAAGTCTTAAGTAGAAAGCATAATGGATGAGCAAAATAGAAATTGTTTTCGATGTTTCTCTTAACACTAAAACTGGCAAAAAAAAAAATTTCCTTTCAAAACTGGTTTTGGAAATCCCACAGACTCTGAGTTTATCTAGCAGGGCCACACCACCACGTTTTGTGGCTGGCAAGAAAAACGATCGTGCTTTCTTGGCCTTGAGTGAACTCAAGTCTCACAGTTACTCCCTCCTGTGGAGTCAACCCCCAGCAGGACCGTCAGGGAGGGAAGTTAATAGGCGTCCTATTGTTCCGTGCATTTTTGCCAGGATATTTCATTAGTGTACACACTGAACCCGTTGTCATCGTGTTTAGCCACTTGACCCTGGTGATTTTCAATTCTCGTGATGAAGTACAGAAGTGCCATGCATGCCCGAGACAGGCACTAATTATTGGAGGCAGAATCATTGCTGACCCAGTACGAGATTAACTGCTCCCTTGCAGTCTTTATTCTGGGACATTAGCACTGTCTGGTTATCTTGCTTCAGTTGAGGGATTCAGGACAATAGCAGTGCTGATGGTAATGTTGGCAATTTCCCTGTTTGTTTTACAGGTCACAGCCAGGGGCTTTGGGCCGCTGTTACAGTTTGCCTACACTGCCAAGCTGTTACTCAGCAGAGAAAACATCCGCGAGGTCATCCGCTGTGCGGAGTTCCTGCGCATGCACAACCTGGAGGATTCCTGCTTCAGCTTCCTGCAGACCCAGCTCCTGAATAGTGACGATGGCCTCTTTGTGTGTCGAAAGGACACTGCGTGCCAGCGCCCCCATGAGGACCACGAGAACTCTGCAGGAGAAGAGGAGGAAGAAGAGGAAGAGACCATGGATTCAGAGACAGCCAAGGTGGCTTGCCCCAGGGACCAGATGCTCTCACACCCCATCAGCTTTGAGGCCACTGCCATCCCAGTAGCAGAGAAGGAAGAAACTTTGCTCCCTGAATCGGACGTGCCCACAGACACCAAGGAAAACTCGGAAAAGGATGCGTTGACACAGTACCCCAGATACAAGAAATACCAGCTTGCATGTACCAAGAATGTCTATAATGCAGCATCACACAGTACCTCAGGTTTTGCAAGCACATTCAGTGAAGATAGCCCTGGCAACAGCCTCAAGCCAGGGCTTGCCGTGGGCCAGATTAAAAGTGAGCCACCCAGTGAAGAGAACGAGGAAGAGAGCATCACTCTCTGCCTATCTGGAGATGAGCCTGACATCAAGGACAGAGCTGGGGATGTGGAGATGGATCGCAAGCAGCCCAGCCCTGCCCCGACCCCGACCACGCCCACTGGAGCCACCTGCCTGGATAGGGGCAGGAGCGTGTCCTCACCTTCCTGTTTAAGGTCTCTGTTCAGTATAACAAAAGGTGTAGAGTTGTCTGGCCTGCCCAGCACATCTCAGCAGCACTTTGCCAGGAGTTCAGCATGCCCTTTTGACAAGGGGATCACTCAGGGTGACCTTAAATCTGACTACACCCCTTTCACAGGGAATTATGGACAGCCCCCCGTGGGCCAGAAGGATGTGTCCAACTTCACGATGGGGTCTCCCCTCAGGGGACCTGGGATGGAGGCGCTCTGCAAACAAGAGGGAGAGCTAGATCGGAAGAGTGTGATCTTCTCCTCAAGCACTTGTGACCAAGGGAGCACCTCTGTGCATTCCTATTCTGGGGCAAGCAATTTGGACAAAGACCTCTCTGAGCCGGTGCCAAAAGGTCTATGGGTGGGAGCTGGTCAGTCCCTCCCCAGCTCACAGGCCTACTCTCACAGCGGACTGATGGCTGACCACTTGCCAGGCAGAATGCGGCCTAACACCAGCTGCCCCGTGCCAATCAAAGTCTGCCCTCGCTCACCTCCCCTGGAGACCAGGACCAGGACTTCCAGCTCCTGCTCCTCCTATTCCTATGCAGAGGATGGGAGCGGGGGCTCGCCCTGTAGCCTCCCTCTCTGTGAGTTCTCCTCCTCACCCTGTTCCCAGGGAGCCAGATTCCTTGCCACAGAACATCAGGACCCAAGCCTGATAGGAGATGGAATGTACAACCAAGTCCGACCCCAGATTAAATGTGAGCAGTCTTACGGAACCAACTCCAGTGACGAATCTGGATCGTTCTCGGAAGCAGACAGTGAGTCGTGTCCCGTGCAGGACAGGGGCCAGGAGGTAGGGAACCCACACAAGTTCAAGCATGTGACCTACTGTCTCTGGTCCTTTGTCTGGATTTTTCTTTTTTCCCTGCTCCCCATCATTGCTTCCAGATTCTTCTTGTTTGCCAAAATTAACGGTGACAGTAAAAGGATTGCTTCCCCCATCCATTAAGACAGATGTTGCGGGGCGACTCTAAATTAACCACTTTTGTCTTAACAGTTGATCTAGATTTCAGTGTTTGCTGAACATTGAAAAAGTCACTTGAATGCATGACAGTTCACTCAGGTACTTCAAATCTTCCCCTGTCCTCTTTCCATCCTCTCATTCCTCCATCTGCGCTGAAAGGTTGGAGGATTGACCACCTCATCCTTGCTGTTCACCCCCTCCATATGAAGCAAATTGTAGACTTTCTTTTAAAATTGATTGATCGAAAGTAAATGGATGGATACAAAACAGATGCTTTCCCAGCACCTCGTAAGTTTTTCCTGCCAACAGAAGACCCTCGGGGTCATCCTGTGTCTATCATGATGGAGGTGATGGAATGCTCTCACTGTCCTGGTCACAAGGTCCCTGCAGAAGTACCCCAGTCAGCACACAGAGCTGAGTAATGGCTCATTTCCCAGGCAAATGATAAGACGTCATTTTGTAGAATAGCAGTTTTCTCCTGCCTGAAAGCAAAGTGCTCTGTAGATAAAATATCTATAGGCTCCATCCATGTTGCTTCATTTCTAGGAGAGAAAGCAGGAGTGACACCAGCACCATCTTAAGCTGTGTAGTGAACTTAGGATGGGAGAGAATAATTGGAGCCCTGAGAAGTCCCCCTTCTCCAGTGGCATGAGCGTTTCCTAAACAGACTCCAGAGCATCTGCGTCATAACCCAGAATTCACTGCACAAATAACCAGGTGGAGACTCACCTCAGGAGCAGGAGTGAGAAAACCCAGAGACAAGTCCTTCCCTTCTGTCAAAAAAAAAAAGAAAGAAAAAAGAAAATGAGGAAGAAAGGAAGAGTGGGCTGGGGGTGTGGCTCAGTGGTGGAGCACTTGCCTGGTGTGTGAAAGGTTCAGGGTTCCATCTCTAGCACCACCAAAATTAAAAAGAATAGAAGGAGGAACGGGAAGTAAGCATAATTCTTATTAGGCCAGTGTACTGGGTGCTCATAGGGATGGATATTAACCTCTGTGAGGCAGAGGATGTTAATCCAGCCAGATAGCAGACATCCACATGCAGAGAGATGGCTTTCAGAGAGCCATGTGTGGTTTATTCAGCTTCTACAAGATTGGTGGACAAGAAACACATGAAGTTTTATTTCAGGCCTGTTTTGAAAATAGACCCCAGAGTTCACTTGAGCCAGCAGCAGTAGTACCTTGTGGTCACCTTCCTCTCTGCCAGCTTGCCCGATTCCTGCTTTCCTGCTCTTTTCTGGTAGAACAGAGAAAGACCAGAAAGCACTGAAAAGAGTTAGGCTTTAAGCAAACTTATAGCCAGGAATTGGTGACTCAAACCTGTAATCATCACTACTTAGGAGGCTGAGATCTGAGGACTGCTGTGTGAAGCTAGCCCAAGCAGCAAAGTCCATGAGACTTTGATTGTTAATTAACCACCAAAAACAAAAATCCCCAAGAAGTGGTGTGGTTCAAGTGGTAGAGCAGCAGCCTTTACCAAACAAGCTAAGAGACAGCACATAGGCCCTGAGTTCAAGCCCCCATACAAACTTGGAGAGAGAGAGAGACAGAGACAGAGAGACAAAGAGACAGAGAGACAAAGAGAGAACATTTAATAGAAGAAGTTCAAATGGAACTTTTCCCTTTTGGTTATGCCTTATCTCCTTAGATTTTGGAACCGGTCACAACCGTGTCCCTGGCCTGAGGGGATAGAGGTTGTGAAAATGAGAGAATGTTGTATGCTCACTCCTCACTTTTTCCTCCCTTCTGACCTCAAGAGAAGTTTCCTTTTATCCTTGGAGCTGTTACTAAGTGTCCTTCATGAAGAAAGCTTGTCACTAGACCAGCTTCATCTATATGACTGATCAAGAACAGTTGTAGGCAGAGGACAAATGCCTCCTCCCTTTGGTTTTTGATTCTCCCCACCATTCAGCCAACAGGGGTGTCGTTTTATACATATACGTATCTTAAAGGAACTGCCCATTTCAGATACATTTCCTTTTCCCTTGTAACATCCCAAAGGAGAATTTAAAGTCATTTCTTGGAACTCGCTATCATCAGCAAACACACACGTGTTTGTCCTGTACATGGTCCAGGTCAATATCTACCTTAGAACTGAAAATTAGTAACTCGATTTAGAAGGAGGATTCATTCAACCTCTAAAATAGTCAGTAGTAAGAGTAGTCTCCCTTCGAAGAAAAATAGCCTGATTTTAATTTTCTTTTTTTACTTTCAAAAAAAAAAATCTGTTGTTTGGATTTGTCAGCAGTGAAGGAAGAGACATTTGCCAAAAGCTTTGCTATCACAAGAGTCCCACTTAACAACCTCCCCCGACCCACACCCAAAGTAGTTTGTTTGGGACAGGTGAATGATGGCAAAGCTAAGGTTTTCCCCCAATTATATATATATTTTTTTTACTTTCCTAGAGTAGGGGAGGTTACATTTCCCAGAACTGCTCAGGTCTCAACACAACAGAACTTCTAGGAGGTAATAACGGTGGTACTGATAGAGGTGATGCCCCAGAAGGAGAATAGCTGCAGATTCATCTAAACTGATCTAGAAGCCAAGCTACTGTCATGCATAGGTACCTTTTCTTCTAAGTGAGCCCCAGGAGACATCACAATCAGACACCAGATCTGGAGCTCGGCCAACCACCAGACTAATACTTCAGAGTTTCCTTCCCAGTCTCTCTTCCTCCACATTGATAAGGAGCCAGAGAGTTAGATCAAAAGACAAGTGTTGATAAACCTTAGGTTCTGTTAGATGCTCTACTGACATAATGTGTTGAACTCTTCCATCTCAAACACTTGACTTTTCCCACCCTTTTCATCCTCTTCTCTAGCTTAAACTTGGGGCTGGAGCAGTCCCCTAACCTTGTTGCTCACATCTGATGCTGTGCTCCTTGAGCCAAAGTTCCATTTCCAGCTTTTTGGTGGTTAATCAGAGATATGAGCCTCACAGATTTTTCTGGCTAGACTGGCTTCACATCACAGTTTTAAGATGTCAACCTCCTGAGTAGCTAGGATTACAGACATGAGTCACCACCAGCGCCTGGTTTAAAATTAATTTTTTTGAGGATGCTGGGGATGGAATTCAGGTCCTCATACATGCTAAGCATGTGCTCTACCATTGAGTTACACTCAGTTTTCTTTGTTTTTCTTTCAATAATAAGTATAACCCATCTAGCTTCAAACACAAATTTAAGGTTTCCCTGCAGAAACCTCATGATATAATAACAATACAATAATGCAAAATCCTATGTAACAACATATACGTACATATATACACCCATCTCTTATTTTAATACTGCTGTACAGTGTAATTCTCAGCACCTTCTTTTGTCCACAGATCTCGCCACTCTGTACACACCTCTGGATCTGTCACATAGAACCCCTCCCCATGCTTCCTTATTATCTCTGACCCCAGGAATTCGAATTTACTCAATTATTACCCATGAGTGGAAATTCCAGTTTTTTTCCAGTTTCTTTCCTCTACAATAAATAGTGTTGTGAACATATTGTTAGTAGTGGAGCTTTTATTTTTATGAATTGAAATCTCATAGGTAGGTTAAAGGTTGTGACCATTTGTCGTACTTCCTAATTACCTTGCTAACCGGTTGTAGCAGTTCACAAACCCTTCAGCAATTAAGGAATGCCCATTGCTACCTATTCTTGCCATTTTCAGTGGTCATCAGTCTTTTGGATTTTGGATGGACAAAACAAAGCATAACAACCAATAAGGTGGACTTCCTGTCCTGTGTGTTTTTCCCCATTTTATTTCCTTTCTTGTGAATTGCTGATGTATACATCTGCCCATTATTCTTTTGTGCTCTTTAACTTTAAATCAGCTTATAGGATATCATAATCTCTAACCTTAGGAATATTAACCCTTTCTTTTAACTGTATTTTCTCCTGTGTATTTATTTATTTATAGTATCTTCTTCCATATAAAAATTTTTAATTTGATGTAGTCATGGTATCAGTTTTTCTCTTTATGATTTAAGAAGTCAGCTTGGGGATTTTCCAAAACTGAAAAAAGTGAACAAGTTGGGGCTGGGAAGGTGACTGACTCAGTGGTAGAGCACTTGCTTTGCATGCATGAGGCCCTGGGTTCAATTCCTCAGCACCATATAAGAAAAAAGAAAAAAGCCAGAAGTGGTGCTGTGGCTCAAGTGGTAGAGTGCTAGCCTTGAGCTGAAGAGCTGA